GTCTATGCAGTAGGAATGTAATTAAAAATACTATGAACATCTGTGAATATTATAGCTTGTCTCATAATGATATAATAACTTCTTTCTCAAAAGTCACAGTTATAGGATAGTATATAGGCATTTATTTAAATAAGCATTTAGTCTCTTTGTAACTCGAACATCATGGCAATTTACTCAAACAGTTTTAATGAGGTTCCTAGTCTGCACCCCACTACCTTCATCATTTTATTGAAGCAATAAGTTGTGTAGTGGTATGGATTGCAACAGTTTTCTCCTTATTCTCCAGTTGTCTTCCCAGAGTCTTGGCTATTTTACCTGCCTTAGAATTGGGCTCTTTTATATGTGAAAAATAAAATAGGACCTTATTCTCTAATCAGCTACTTGACATGTGTAAGAATATTCTCATTTGCCTCTTTGGTCCCAGTTGTGTGTCACTGTTCTCTGGTTAAGGAATATGAAACCACAATTTTAGAAGAATGACCTGCATGTAATTTAACTAGACCTTCAAAGAAACAGGTAGAATGATCAGATTATTTATCTCCTTTAATATAAGGAAAAGCTTCAAAGTAGCTTGTCAATATTATTGGATTGAACAAGACCACCGGATTGGTTGCTGGAAAATTGTCCTGCCCTGCCTGGTTATATTGGCCTCTATTATATGTTTCATTTTGTTCACATTCAGACACAAGATGATGTGCAGTCATCCATCAAAGTCACCCAAGCAAAACAGTCCTGAGGCTTATCTAATGAATGTAAACGATTGTCTCACTGAAAGAGCAGAGAAACCATATGTCATTGTCATTTTAGTGGTGGCAACTCAATCCGTGTTTAATTTAATTAACTCTGGCAATTAACACAAAGTTGAAAATCATATACATTAAAAAAAATCTAATGGACTAAGGAGTGTGCCAGCAATATAATGAGCAATTACTGTTGGAAAGCATTTGATTAAGATGATTAAAATCAATCCATGGCTATAGAATGAAAATTTAAATGAAGGACAAAGGTAGAGTCAAGCACTTTAAGTTTAAGAGGCAATTATAATAGTTGCCAATGATATCCATTAAAGGCACGACTCTGCTTCATATGGAACCAGATACAGGTGGTCCTTTCCTTACAACCATTCATTTAATGGCCAAAGTTACAATGGCACTGAAAAAAGTGACTTATGACCATTTTTCACACTTACAACCGTTAGAGCATCCCATGGCCACTTGATCAATATTTGGATGCTTGGCAACTGGTTCAGATTTATGATGGTTACAGTGTCCCAGGATCATGTGACCATATTGCAAAGTTAATGGGGAAGCCAAATTCAGTTAACAACTGTGTTACTAGCTTAACAACTGCAGTGGTTTGCTTAACAACAGTGAGAAGAGAGGACATAAAATGGGGCAAAATGCACATGACAACTGTTTCACTTAGCAACAGAAATGTTGGGTTCAATTGTGGTCGTAGGTCGAGGACTTCCTGTACTAAACTGAAACAGGCCACTTTAGCTAGATCATCTTTTAAGTGAAGTAGCATTTCCTGGACTCTTCCTATAGGCTTGAATCAGGTTAGGTTTTACGTGTATCCCAAATTAATATAATTTTGCAGTAGTCAGTTAAGAGTATGGAGAGTTTTGAGGGGACATGTGATTTTTAGGAAACCTCTAGCAAAGCTCCCCCTTAAAGTTCAATTTCATGCCTACTAGGAAGCATCAGGTAGTCTTTAACTCTGCTGGTAGAGAGTGGCTGTTTGGCATGTGTAGACGCCAATTCTTTCTACTCTCTACTTTCTACTTTCTACCTTCTATCTTCTACTTTCTACCTTCTATCTTCTACTTTCTACTTCCTACCTTCTACTTCCTACCTTCTACCGTCTACTTTCTACTTCCTACCTTCTATCTTCTACTTTCTACTTTCTACTTTCTACCTTCTACTTCCTACCTTCTACTTTCTACTTCCTACCTTTTACTTTCTACTTCTTACTTCCTACTTACTACCTTCTATTTTCTACTTTCTACTTCCTACCTTCTACCTTCTATTTTCTACTTTCTACTTTCTACCTTCTACCTTCTACTTTCTACTTCCTACCTTCTACTTCCTACCGTCTACTTCCTACCTTCTATCTTCTATTTTCTACTTTCTACCTTCTACTTCCTACCTTCTACCTTCTACCTTCTATTTTCTACTTTCTACTTCCTACCTTCTACTTCCTATCTTCTACCTTCTATTTTCTACTTTCTACTTTCTACCTTCTACTTTCTTCCTACCTTCTACTTCCTACCTTCTACCTTCTATCTTCTACCTTCTATCTTCTACTTTCTACTTCCTACCTTCTACTTCCTACCTTCTACCTTCTATTTTCTACTTTCTACCTTCTACTTCTTATCTTCTACCTTCTACTTTCTACTTCTTACTGTCTACCTTCTACTTCCTACCTTCTACCTTCTATTTTCTACTTCTTACCTTCTACTTTCTACTTCCTACCTTTTACTTCCTACTTCCTACCTTTTACTTCCTACCTTCTACTTTCTACTTCTTACCTTCTATTTTCTACTTCCTACCTTCTACCTTCTACTTCCTACCTTTTACTCTCTACTGTCTAATTTCTACCTTCTACCTTCTTTTTTCTATTTTCTGCTGGTGGTAAATGGTTCAGCCACATCTGGAGGCTTTCTGGAGACCAAATGCATTCACACCACTGTACAAATTATGATTTGAACCATAGCACGCTTGCTTTACTTACCTCTGCTTTTCATGACAAGACAGCTAATAATTGTGGAATTACTTTACCAGAATGCGCCAATGGTGTGGGAAGTTATATATCAGAAGTTATGCTGGTTGCTTAGTGAACAGTGATTCTTTGCATACAAATACTCCTTGCTTAATGACTGATCACTTAGTGACCTTTTGAAGTTTACAACAGACCCCCAAAAGCTACTTATGACCTGGATTTGAAGTTTCAGTGTTTGGGCCTGCCCCCACCCCATGGTCACGTGATTACATTTTGTGCACTCACTCAAAAATCAGTCTACATTTATGGCTGTTTGCAGCACCCCACAGCCACATATCCACAATTTACAATGTTTATTACCAGAAACTGGCATTTACTTCCAGTTTTTTTGGGGAAAATCCCCATTGTGAACAATAGGTTCGCCTAACTACCACATGTTCACTTACGAATGGCATCGTTAACATTATGACCACAGCCCTCACTTAATGACTGCCATAGAAAGTTGTAAAATTGGATCAGTCACACAATGCCATGACCCGTTTAAAGATCGGCATGACTTACAACTGTAATTCCAAGCTCAACTGTGGTCATAAGGACCACCTGTAGTTGTAGGCTACCTGCTAAACCATTAGTCTAATGCAGGGATGGGCAATTAATTTTCCCAAGGGGCCACATGAGTATGTGGTGGAGGACTGCCACTCCCTCCACTGTCTGCCACTGCCTCACCCCCTGATGTGTCAGTGCATTGTATATCAGAATATAACAGAATAAAAGAGTTGGAAAAGACCTTGGAAGTCCTCTACTCCAGAGGTCTCCAACCTTTCCAGACTCGGGGACTGGAGGGAAGGAGAGCAGCTTCAAAATTGGTGTGTGTGCACGCATGCATGCTCACGGGGTCATACACAGTGGCGTGGCACTAGCAGCCCTGTTCGCGCATGCGTTATGTGCCGGCACTGTGCACATGCATGAACAGCCATGCACTCCCCAAGGCGGGTAGCATGTGCAAATGGGCCCATGTGCAAATGAGGCTGTGGGCACTAGTGCAAGTGGGAGGGAATACGCACCCATGCATGCACGCACTGGCCAGCTATTTCAAGAGCCCATGGCCTGGTCCCGGGCCATGGCCCATAGGTTGGGGACCCCTGCTCTAGTCCAACCCCCTGCCCCCTACACCATTTCCGACAAGTGGTTGTCCAGTCTCCTCTTAAAAACCTCCAATTGTTGGGGTCAGGTGACAAACAGATAAGATTAAAAGTTCAGTCAATTTTATCCAAATTCTGAATATATATTCTAACTTAATAGGTCTTTAAAATGAAGTTATCATGACTTCACATTAAGAGAACCCAAATTTCAGATGTGTTACAAGTCCATATCTAGAATTATAATCCCCGGAATGGTTTCCAAATTGAAAGGCACTTCCATAACTTGACGAGCTATTCTTCCATGGAAGGTATTCTTTGTACTTTCATTTTAAAAAAATCTGTAACTTTGCAGCATCTCTCATGTGATACAATAGTTTGGTAAGTTTTTTTTTCAGAATATAAGGTTTGATAATATTTCATTAAAAATAGAAAGCTCAAAAGGAAATTCACCTTTTAGAATTCGTTGCATTGTGGTATAAATCATTTTCCCAAACTGTTGAGTTGGAAAAAGGAAAAAGAACCAACCTGGTGATTACATTTTCATCATTTTTTAGAGAATGAACTCTCCATTTTAGAAATCAGAACTAGAATTCTGATATCAGTAATCATTTGTAAGTATAATGTTTGATGTAGATTTAATGCTTTTCTTCCATTGGAATTCCCATTGCTGCATATCATTCATTTCCTTTAGATTCTGTTCAGTTTATCAATTGTATTTCACCAACAATTTCTAAAGCCCGCTTAGCAAATGCTCTGAATACCGTCATTTGTTTTGCAAATTCAATCAAGTCTCTAAATATTCCCCCTTGTCTTTGCCAGTTTCCACCCCACTTGTCTGAATATTTTGAAACTAGTCAGGTGCTTCTGGCCATTCTGAAGAAGAAGTCTCAAAAGATTTTATCTTTGATGTACTCATAATCAAATCTTGCAGCCTATATGATATATTCTCTCTCCACTGAACAAATTTCTTTGTGCTTTCCTTCTTATGAAAATAAAGATTTAGTAATGAGGGAAGAGGGAATAGATCTGAACTCTATTGTTTTCCTAGGCCCAAGTGAAAAAGAAAAAGAACTCTGAATTTATACAACAAATTAGAAAAGTTTGGAAATCAAAGCTGAACAAGGGTAGGACAATCAAATCCCTTAATACTTGGTCTTTCTCTTTAATTCACTTCATAAAAGCTAATATTGACTGGACACAAGCTTAACTAGAAGCTTTGGATTATAAGGCCCCAAACATGTGGTAATATACATCATGCATTACATTGAAAAAAAAAAGTTACATTTATTGTTTGTATTTACCAAGCAAAATTGTTGGTCATGGTTTGTTGCAAGTGAAGCAGACAGTGGAGGATGAAATCAGAAGTTTAAATGATTACACAGAAACAAGCACAGAGAAGAAACTAATAAATGTCTTGCAAGGAAAACATTTCGAATGAAATAGGCTCAAAGGTGATATGCTAAGCTGAACAGTTATCAAATTGGAAAGATAAATCTCTGTATGGTCAATCCCTGAAATAAATTAAAGGCAAAACTAACAACACTGGGCAATGGCTTCAAATCAGATTGGATCCATTGAGAAGAAAACAGAAGGATTAATATTTGCAGCCAGAGAAGGAATTCTGGGAGTTAAGTCCTATGCATCCTGAAATTGCTGAGGCTGAGAAACACCGAGAAATAAAACTATGTAGGTATTTTGGGGTCAGAGGCAAAAAATAAAGCAAAGAGGCCCTTTTGAAATCGTTAGTGGGTCTTTTTATATGGAGTCTATCCCTGTATACGGGAAGTGAAATACTGTATTTCCTTGACTTGCCCTGCCCTGCCCTGCCCTGCTTCGCATTTTTAGAATACTTGGGGGAAGAATTAGAATCGTCCTTTTCTGGATATTTGAATCAGGTCACTAGTGCTTGTGCAGGTTATCTTGCCACAGCCAACTTGCTGCGGTCAACTAGCCATGGCCAACTCACTACAGCCATTTCGTCTTGGCCAACCTGCCGTGGCCATCTTGCCACAGCCAATTCACCGTGGGACAACTTTCCACAGCCACATGGGCTATAACTCAACGCAATGTGTTATATCTGCCACTGTTTCTTTGACATTATTTCCTTTGAAGAAAATGGAAATAATGTCGAAGAAATAGTGGCAGGTCAGTTATCCTGCCTGGAATTGTCCGCAGCGAGTTGTCCCATGGTGCATTGGCTGTGGCAAGATGGCCACAGCGAGTTGGCTGTGGCAAATTTGTCCCATCCTGGCTTATGCTAAGGAAAATAAGAGTGGAGGTAAGTCAGCAGAGGGCGCTGTTTACACATTGCCTTGTTTAGTCCTCAGTTCCTTATCATCTGCAGGTTGGATACAGACTCATATTTGCACTCCTTTCTGAATGTAGCAGGATTTTTTTTTAAGTAATGCACGCTTTTAATGAACAGGATTTTGTGTGACTTTTCCCCCCCTATTGCATGTATGTTTTGCAAGCATTTTCCCCTCATACATAAAGCACTTTTACACACTGGGCCCAAAGTGTAAGGTTTTTTTGGGGGGGGGGACAGGCAAATTTTGCTATGCCAGGGGTAGGCAACCTTGGCTCTTATATGACTCGTGGACTTCAACTCCCAGAATTCCTGAGCCAGCATAGCTCAGAGTGGAAACCTCTCCCTTTCCCCTCAGTATGGCTGGCTCAGGAATTCTGGGAGTTGAAGTCCACGAGTTATAAAAGAGCCAAGGTTGCCTACCCCTGCACTAGACCATATCATGGTTAAATAACTGGGCAATGTGATGTATTTGAACTTTAAATTCTATAACTTCAAGAGTTACAAATCAAACTGACATGAAAATTCCATTTCTACCCAACCTCATGTTTACTAGGAAATCATTAAAAAAAAACATCACTCCTGGTGAAGAACTAATAGGCCATGATATAAAATTAACTGCAAGTTTTAATTCCCATAGTCCAGGATCAAATTTGTACATCTAGAATTTCAGCTCGATCATTTTTTTTCCCACAGAGTGTGAATTAAACTATTAATTAAGCTAATCAGGCATGCTGTTTGCTGCTGACAATGACCCTGTTTGAAATTCTGAGTTTCTTTCAGCTTGCTGAGGAATTCTTGTTGAACATTCCAATTAGTTCAAAATTAAGCGCTCTCCCTGCTCTGCTTGGACAAAATATTCTAACAAGAATGTCCACAGGGGTTGGATCAAAAAGTCAAGATGGCAATCCTACAGTTGAAGCCCCACCCCTTTTTTAACCTGTGTTGTACAGGCAACACGGGGGGGCAGGGCTTTAATTGTGTCATAGCTACAATCTTGACCTTTTTTTGATGTTCCTCTGATGGACACCCTCGTATTCTGATATGTGCATTCTTGAAACGAATTCAGAAGTGATTTGGATGTGTAGGCGAGGTTGGTCTCCCTCTGCTATTCTTTGAAGCAGTCTGATCTTGTTCTGCTTCCAAAGAATTTGACTGTTTAACGTGTCTGGAAGCCTGAACAAAACTGGTCTGCTTTAATCATGAATAGTAGAGATGTGCTGGACTTGCCTAAGATCTGAAGCACTTCTGAATCACTTTTAAAATGTGCACGGCCTTAGTCTATACCAGGGGTAAGCAACCTTGGCTCTTTTATGACTTGTGGACTTCAACTCCCAGAATTCCTGAGCCAGCCATGCTGACTCAGGAATTCTGGGAGTTGAAGTCCATGAGTCATAAAAGAGCCCAGGTTGCCTACCCTTGGTCTATATTATTGATACCATTTACCTTTGCCTTCCCCTTTTCTTCCAGCTTCTCACAGTAAAAAAAATCAAACAAACTAAAGTTTTTGTGTTTGCCGAGAACCATCACACTACAGTAC